CCAGTTCAGTGGGTCGTTCGCCGAGTCCTCTGGCTGGGGCTCTAGAATGATTTTGCCGTCCTTGGTCTTCTTCTTCTCATCGGCGGGCGGGCCGTGCGAGGAAGAGCGGCGGGCAGTGACCGGTGGCGATGGACCTGGATCGAAGAACCCGGTCGGGATGGAGGAATGAGAGGTGCGTGCAGGCGCATTACGGAGGCCAAGGGGTTCATTCCTGTTACTGGCAAGCAGAAGGACAGAACCTGATTTTGGCAGTACGATCAGCAGGTGATGGAACAGATTGACAGAAAGCCCACGTACCAGGAACCTGAACTGTGTGAAGGTCATTGAGAACGCCCATACTCCATCTCGGAGGACCTTGCTTCTCTTGTGATTCGGGAGCCTGGGCGGCGTTGGACTCGCGCCCGAACCAGCGCTCCCAACGCGGTTTTGCCGACGATTCGGCAGCCATAGCTCTTTGCAGGGCTCAGATGAATAGGCAGGGCGTATTATCTGTATTTTGTCGGTATTCTGACACGCTGCGACGAGTTACGAAGAAGAAACAAGCATGTGTGATGAATGCGATGCCAGTTGAAAGGTTTCTAGGGGCGACGTGATGAGAGGTGGGTGTGTGGTCATGGAACGCCGAGGTTGTGTAGCACGGAGGGAGGAGTAACGCTATCTGGAGCAAGGAGTAGAGGATCTGCGAATCAATGTCTAGGATTGATCAATGAAGAGGCGGTCGAGGTTAAGATGAAAGGCCAAGTTGGAGAGACATGAGGTGGAGAGATGGTGGTGCGAGGCTGACAGAAGGTCAAGGCTAGCAGTCAGAGACTATCCGGGTATGTTGGCGGACGCGCTCCAGGCGGGTATGACTCGAGGTGGTCGGTCGGTCGGTCGATCTACTTTGGGCGGCGCGTTGCAGAAGGCGGGTATTTCGAGGGTATTTGTAGGGGTAAGCGATGTCGACAAGCCCGCCCGTCACACATTCCTTCACGAGCTCTGAAGCTTTGGAGAACAGGCCATTGTTGGTGTGTTCCTGCCTGTCTCGGCTTCGGCTGCCTCTGTCACGCAGATCGACCTTGAGCTGACCGACTTCTGGCAGGGGACTGCCACTTCCCATGACACGAGATAAGCATGAAGCAACAGCGCTAGGGCGGGGTGATCGGTCGGGTGCCATCAGTCCCTCCACTTAAGCTACAGCGGTGAGTGGGCCATGGGAAGCGGTGCTGAAGCCAAGCACTTGGGTGCCTACGAAATCCGGCTTCGTCTCCCACTCAATGAGTCGTAGGCAGCATGGGACGGTCGACGATGCGTCTGCAACGCGTCTCATGCGCGAGAAACGTGGGGAAGTAGCAGCGGTCACAAGATGTTGCTCAAGCCACTCATTGGAAGCTGATGCTCATTGTGGTATTTGTTTTGCTTCTGATATGCGATGCCTCAGAATCCAAGGTGCTAAATGCCCTGCGTGATGACGCAACAGCACCTTAGCCTCGAGGTTAGGGGTCTTGTCCCCATATTTCCGTGTGACGCTCACTGTCACAACGCGCCGCACAGGTGCAGTGACAGCCTGAGGTGCAAGGTGCGCGCGCTGAGGCAGGAACTCTCTCAGCCGCCCTATCCTGCGCCCCATCTCCCTTCATCCTCCATGTAGGTACCTACCATACGCTCCTGCTTGCTCCATCGTTGCAGACGGCCGCTGTGCAACACATCCACTAGACTGTCGAACCAAGTGATTGATTGCGGCATCTCATCCATCATATCGATCGATAGGTTCTAAAGCCCGCCCCTGGCAATCAAGACGCTCCTCAATATTCAATCGCACCTCTCTCGCGCAGCTACGCACCCACACACCACACAACACCCTCCCACCCTCATCGACGTCATGCACACGAGACACCTCCTCCGCCTGACTGCGCCGCGAGCCTGTCCAACTACTCCTAGCTCCTCCTCCCTCAACAAACTCCCCGGCCGACCTGTCAGCACGCCACTCATACCAGTCTCACTTTCAGCCGCCGTGGCGCCCTTCTCGACGTCGCAGAACCGCAAGCTTAGGAATCAGATATACACCTCGTAAGTTGACTTGCTCACTCCACTGGTCATTGGCCAGCTGGCCGGGCCAAAGTATTTTGCTGTGCGATGTTTGCCAACACTTTGCTCAGCGTCCGTAAGCCTGATGATTTCTACACATATCAGCAGATCTCGTCGTCATCCAGAACGCCTCTCCTAACGCTGTGGACTACATCTTGGTGCTCAACCTGTCGCGTCGTTGCTCCCCTTCTGCAATCGCTTGTAGAGTCCGGTGTTGGCGAGGCTGAGGGCGGCGTCGCCTTTTGTACTGTCGAGTACGACTCGCCCGACATTATGAGCGCGGGCTTCGGCATGACCTACATGATCACGTCTGTGCCGACGCTCCTCAGCTTTGATGCTCAAGAGGCGCAGGTGCAGACCAAGGTCCAAGACGCCAGAAAGATGGCCGACCGCCAATTTCTCGAGGACTGGATTCGAAACGAGGCCCGTCGACACGGCGGACGCGGTGGCGGAAGTGGAGGCAGTGGGCCAGATGGCAAGGGCCCCTTTGGAGGTCTATTTGGCAACTGGAAATGAAGATGAATAAAGAGCTTCGTGGAACGCTGTCTATGGCAGATGAAAGACCTCCTCGACGGGCTTCCACCAGCCCGGCTCTCCCGGCTCGACGTTACTCTTGGTTGCGCCTTCGACCAGCGACTCCTGCCAGCCATCGGTCATGTCCCACCACTCCCGGACCTTGGGGTTTTCCCTCATGCGCTCCATGTCTCCAGCGTAATCGTATCCCACGTACTTCATGGACGCAAAGAGGATGCCGGAACTCTCATCGTAGAAGATGCTGTCTGTCGTGGTGTTAGCGTCGGTTCCAATTTGTCCGAACCCGGATGGGGCAGAGGAAGATTGGAGAGTGCAACGGAGTGAAATGACGGAGGCGGGTTGAGTAGGAAAGGAACAACGTACAGTCTTCAATGTTGCACTGCTTGATCTGTTTGAGGACCTCGGGCCATACATGAGCGTGCACCTTTTTGTATTCCTCGAGGAACTCAGGCTTGAGCTTGACAATCTGGGCAATGCGGCGGCCCCGGTTCTTCTGTCGCGACACGCTGAACGAGGCGGGCTGCTCAGGGCTGGTGGGGCGCGCTGTGGGAGCCGAGGCAGCAGTGGGAGACCACATCATGTTGCTCTACTGGGCGTGGAGGAGGAGCGTAGAGGCGGTGGGACCAAGGGGTAGGGAAGTCCTTCCAAGTTGAAGCTGTTCGTCGTTCAGAGAGAAATCTGGCGTCACAAGAGTGATCAGCTTGCGGATGTGAGGTTGAGAAAACAAATTAGCGACAGAGTCTCCCCCCAATGCTCCGGGGCGAGACTTCGGTGGAAGAATGCTGCGGGCAGCAACCACTGCGGGGTTGAGCTCAACTGCCCCCTCCCTCTTCACCCAATGCTGCGTCACCACGCTGGTGCAGGGGGCAGGCACGATCGACCCCACGTAGTTCGCCTCACGAAGGGAACCTCCGATGGACGTGTGTCTTGTTGCCTACCTGGTTATCGTGACAGGCTTCGTTCAGACCCTCTGGCTTTATCCGTGTGTACATATATGACATGGAATGCTCCTGTGCCGGGAGAGAGAGAAACAGGAATAAAAGGGCGCAGTCTATCTCACTCAGCCAACAGACAGACCTGAGGGTTGGGGAGAGCTCACTGCGGGGTGCAGAGATAGAGGACAACGGAGCTCGGATTTAGTCGCGCAGAACGGACGGAGATGCAGCCGCGAGAACAGGGCAAGACAGAACAAAGCAGAGTCGCAGGCGCGGAACAGACGCAACACGTTTCCTCCCCCCCCTTCCTCCTCTGCATGGCAACCTATCTTGTTGCGTGTTCGGAACGGCGGCCAGTCAGCCGCCCCTGCAGCAGACAGCACATCGCTTCAAAGTTTACACATGGATGCGCGCGCGAGGTGTGCTTGATGCCGATGCCGTCTCGAGAATCGCCCAAGCCCGCTGCTTTCGACGGTGCGTGAATTTGCTGTGGCCCTGAGAACGGGGCCAGCAGGAACGAAACAGCAACTCCGTCTCCTCTCCATGTGAGCCTCGCTCGCTCTCGGCATCTTCGCGCGTCGACCGCCCTGTTTTCCCGTGGATCTGGCCCTGGCTGCGGGCCGTCCGCCCTGGTCGTCCGATCCCGCTTCCAGCAGTACCACTCACTGGAGTGTAGTGCTGTGGTGCGTACCTCCGGTCGGAATTGCCGGCGTCTTTTTTTTGGGAGGATGGGGGGGACTTCCACAGTAACATCAGTAACACTCCCCCACGGATCTCCTGGATTCCCTTTTTGGCCTAATACCAGGGCACCCAATTGGCCGTTCCTTGCGCCTGTGTGGTGCGCTTAAGTTTATCCGCTAATCAGGGTAGTCCGCTGAGAAGCCGTACAGGCTGGGATTTTGTATTTATGGTTGTGTCGGCTGCGCTCAGAACGACATGGACTGCCATAGATAAAGCTATGTCTCATGTACCAAATGTAAATCCACCGAGTGCTTTCTGTGTGAGGATGCAATCGAGTGCGTTTTGCCTTTTGATTGCCGTGAAATGAAAGGGTAGGATCCTTATGAGTTTGGCGCCTTCGGTTCCTACATGCCGCGAGCCAGCAACGCACAACTGCCAGTTACATCATTCATGTATGTGGTCGCTTCAAATATTTTTTCTTATGATGACGGGCGTATTTTAATCTGCGCTTGGGGTGCTTTTTGTCCTGGCAAAGAGCACCGGAGTCGACATGGACGAGATCAGTTGGCCCTTTTTCGAATAGACAACAATTGCCCCACAAGCTTACTGTGTGGTACACCAACGTCTTTTCACTTCGTTGGGGTTGAAAACTTGACCTCCAACTGTCGACGACATTCATCTGAAGTGTGAAAGAGGTTACAAAGTGCCTACAACCAAGGCAGCAAGGGCACCCTTCAGGACCTTGTACATTGCTGTGTTTATTCCAGAACACGGCAAGTGACCATGACGACACGTATCCCTCATCTTCTCGAGCCCTACCTGGCCCTCCCGCCAGAACATAGCAGTGTCCTCCTCACGAACGTCTTGGGCGCCACCACGAACTGGCTCATTCTGCGCTATCTTTACTCCCACCTGCAAAAGAAGACACGCCAGTCCCAAGAATTAGCTGAAGAGACAGGCGAGACCAATGTCGTGCTCGTCAGCTTTATGCGAGACTTCACGTTTTGGAAAGACGGCGCAGGCAAGCTAGTCAGTCTTCATCTCACCTGTTCCGAACCATTCTGGTCAATGCATTCACTGACGGGGCTCTAGGGCTTGGACCTTGAGTCCCTGGCTCGCGCCGGTCGTTTCGCCTTCGTCGACGGTCTAACAAATCTCTTCACACCGCTCCCAGTAGACGGCGCCCGCAAGGGCTTCCGCACCCTCCGCGGCCCCAAACTCTCAGACCTGCGCAATGAGCTACTGGGTGCCGTGGCCGATGTAGCGGGAGGCCGCGGCGCCAACCCTGCGAAGACTATAGTCATCGTCGACCAGCCGGACCTCCTTCTTGCTGCAACGGCGGACCTCACGGAGGGGCCTGATGCCGTGACGGAGCTTGCGCTACGTGGTGTGCTTCTGGACGTCCAGGAGAAGGTACACGCGTCGGTCATGGCCGTAGCAGCGGACGAACCGCTCATCGCTGCGCAGGGCACAGGACTGGAGAGGGGACACGCCGGGTTCGTGCTGGCGCTGGCGCACACGGCTGAGATCGTGGTGAGCTTGAGATTGCTGGACACCGGGGGCGCGAGTGACGTGAGCGGTGTTATGAGGATCACGGGCGGTGGAGGAGATGACGGCATAGATCGGGAGGTTGAAGAGGCGGAATTCCTCTACTTCGTGGGAGGGGACGGGAGCGTCAAAGTCTTCCACAGAGGGCAATGAAGGCAGATTCAGCCGGAGTTTAAGCTGGAATATTATGATACCCCAGATGCTGAAATGGCACAAATTCGATCAATGATACAGATTGAAACACCGCATGACAAACCTTGTCTCCCGAAATACACGTCACAGGCTGTGGTGGGACAGTAAGAGCTTGAAGATCCTCTGGGTTTGGTATCTGGCGAGGAGCTCGTCTAGAACTCGCGTCACGGATGGCCAGTTCAACAGCGCCGAGGAGCTGGAGTGACCTCCTCGAACGACAAATTGAAAGTGTGCATGCGGCGGTCAGTTGACCACTCTTCCTCATAACCCGCCAGCACGACTCATCGACAGCGCACGCGTCAGAATGGCATTGTGATTGCGACCTTGCTGGAGTCCATATCCCTAAAGCAAAGCCTGTCGGAATCCCTCCAGCCCAGTGACCTCGAGTTCCGGCGTTTCGTTCACGCTTTAACACCCCCTTAGACCGTCCCTATGCATGCATTGCCCAAGAGTTCCCCTTCAAGGTCGAACCCCCCGGGTTTTCTTTTCCGTCGTCCTCTGCGTACCAAAAAAGACGAATTTATTCCTTGGAAGGGTTGGGGTTGGCAGCACCGCGAGCACCCTTGGGGCCGCCGGTCTGGAAGCCGTTCTTGAATCGTCGGGAAACGTCGGCGAGCGAGCGCATGCGGCCGGTGCCGGTGGTCTTTCTCCGCTTGGCCTTCTCGGACCAGTTGTCTGTTTCCTCCAGTCAGTTATCAATTATTCGTGAGCATCCATCACCACTAGATAGCGGTTCGCGTCGACAGTCGTGGGGAACGTACACTTGCGGGTCTTGGCCGAGGGGTAACCGCACGAGGCGCAAGTGTGCTTCTGGACGTGGAGGGAGCGGCGGCCTAAAATTCCATCAGTCTTCCGCACATTCCAAGTCGAATTGACTCTTCCTCCAGAAATCGTCCAGTCTCCGTCGTCGTGATCGGTATTTGTGGCGTCGATATCCGGAGTCGGGTCGAGAAGGGTAAACGTACCGCAACGACGGCACAGAACGTGCGTCTTGTTGTGCCTCTTACCGAACGAGGAAGTACCCTTCGCTACGGGAAAAGTCAGCCAGCGGTTCAGTTAGTCGCAGAATCTTTTATAGAAGGTCTGCGATCTGCTGCTCGTGCAGCGTCTCGGGCGTACGTACTCATCTTGGCGGTGTTGAGATGTCGACGGTGAAGGTGGTTGCTTGACGATTGATGTTCAGTCTCAAAATCGAGCGCAGCATGAAATTTCGAGGGCTAGGGTAAGCGAGGGCGCACAATTCGGCGGGGCTTTTGAGTCACGTGGGGAGGCCAATGTGGGGGCCGTGCTTCTCTTGCGGCATTGGAGTGATCGGCGAGAGTTTAGCCGGATATACACCGAGAACCAATTGAGCACGCACCAATTGCTTGTCGTAACAGTGTATTGCCAACATGAGGGAAGGCGCTTGCAATCCTGAGTCAAATCCCTGTATACCTCTCAGCCTGATGCCACCCCTTTCGATAGATATCATGCGCCATGACTCCCCTGAGAGCGCCCCCATAGTCATAAGCATAGTCGTACAGTCGTGCAGCTCGTCGTTCCCCACAATTCATCATTTCAACTCAAGCATGTTGTTGAGGGCCGCTTCGGTGGCCCTGAGCCATCGGCCACGCTCCTCCAAGTCATCTTCCACACCGCCCAGTGCGGCCTCTTTGCGCCGCTTTGCATCCTTCGCAGCGGTCGTGCTGGTCTGCTTCTTGACTTCTAGAGGTTGCAATTCAGCTTCTAACCTTTCCACCTCCTTCCTCTTCCTCGGCACCTTGGACTGAAGTTGCTCGAGTTCGCGATCCAGCTCCTTCTGCCGACGCCGCTTGTCATCCAGCAGTTCAAGCGTCTTGGCGAGCGGCAGATTGATGTACGGGTTCGTGCCGGGCTCTTGCGTCTCCTTCAATTCCGCGACCCGACTCTCTAGCCCCTCGATTTGACCAGGAAGTTCCTGCAGCTTGACTTTCTCGACCCGAACATTGTCGTATCGTTGGCTCAAATCACGGCCTCTTTTCTCCAACTCGGCCACCATGTCAGCAACCTCAATCTTGAGAGCCTTGAGCTGCGTCTTAGCCGCCAAATTCTGTTTCTCTAATTCCAGGTTTTCCTGCGGCGTTACAATATGAGGCGGGTCTCCAACGATGGCGCGAATGAACTTTTCTTTGGTGACCTGTTCAACGTAGGAGAATCGTAGTTTGGAGAAAAGCTCTTTGTAATGCTGGAGGTCGGCGTCAAGGCTGGCCGGCGTCGGTGCGTCCAGGGAGGCGTTGGATGCATCAGATGTCCTTTGTCGTGCATCTTGGGAGTAGGCGCTCGAGATCGGCTCGCTCAGCTTGATGATTGAGATTTCGCTGTTGCGCTCAAGCGCCTCCAGCTTCTCGAGGATGTCGTCTGCATCGATGGTGGTCATTGTATCGATGACTTGGCGCGTGAGTTGTAGATCTTGAAGCTTGAAGTGTCTAGACAAACTTGGAGAAGCAAGTGTGTTCGAAACTAGTATGTCGTTGGAAGGGAATCGCACATGTCACTGGTGATATGGCGAAGGGGCTGCGCGCTGACGTCTGGGGCGCGGGGGTTGGCAATCGAATATTAGACCGCGATCGCGGGCTCCGATGGATGTCATCGTTTTTTGTTGTTCAGGCATTCCCTAATTGGGATACGCGCGGGGGCCTTATCGCTATCAATTCCTCTTCCTGGACTCAGTCGCAAACTGCATGGACCCTGACCCACACGGGCGGCTGTTGGCCTTCTTCCTGCATCAATAGTGGAGCGAGCCACTTGACCACCACGACTTCAAGTCTTGATACAACCTGTTTGCCCCAGGCTGTTTATACATGGGCATAAATCATTCGTCACATTGGAATCTACCCATACGCTACAAATGCCACGACACTGACCTTGAGCGGACTCGATCACTGCCCCCACTCCCAACAACACCTACACATCACCCACTGTTTTGCATCAGCAATGCCCAATGACGACATCCTTACAGACGACTACCTGGCGGAGGTGCTTGCGAAAGAAGCAGCAGACTGCTCATTGGAATACTCGAGCGTGGGGTTGGAAGCGTTTCGCGCTGAGAAGAAGTTCGTGGGCCGTCTATCCTACTCTGAGAGTCACCGTCTGACAGAGACAGGCCCGCCAACAAGCTGAAGCCAAACAAACGATTCTTGCAACACATCATCAAAGACACCGACCGGCACAATGCGAATCTCCTTGCGAAAGAAACTGCCGAGTCGCAAGCGCGCCTGAAAGCGCTCGAGGAGACCGAGGAGCGACAAAAGCGCAAAAGCGCAGCGCCACAAGATGTCCGACGCCGACAGATGGGCGATATCTTGAGCATCTTGGGCGGTCGCAAGGCAGATACGAAAGTGGCCAGCTCACGGAGGTCGACAGACGCAACATCAAAACGATATTCGACTTCTACATCGTCTCGAAGGCGCCATCGAGATGGTCGCAGCGCATCACCGGACCAAAATGACAGCAAACGGCGGCGACGGCAGGAGGAGCGCGAGCCCGATGTAGAAGACCGCGAGAGCCAGCGGAAGCGAAGCAGCCACCGCGGGCCAAAAGATCCATGTCCCCAGAAGACAGAAGCAGCCACCGCCGCCACCGATCTCGCACACCATTTGAGCGAAGGGTGGCGCAGACTCCAAAAGCGCGCCGCTCCCGATAAAGGCCGTCCTAGAACTCAGACTGCTGAAGACCGTATGTCGAAGTACCACAGGACTTCACGCGATAAAAGCCCGGCCCATGGCAATGCTCACAATCATGGACCGAGCAGCGACCTGGCATCAGAGCGACCCGAAAGAGAACGACGGCATGGTGGAGGGCGACTGAAGTCTCAAAACTCAAGACATGCTTTGAAAGACGAAACACTGTCAGACTCGGACCCCTTGGACGACATTATTGGGCCGGCACCGCCTCCCCCAATCCGCACACGAGGACGAGGCTTTCAGACGGGTTCATCTGCGATGGACAAGCATTTTGATGCGAGCTACGACCCAAAAGCTGATGTGGAGATGGACGAGACGACGGGAAACTGGGAGGAGGCTGTTGAGACTTTTAGAGACAGGCATAAATGGCAGCAGAGTCAGGAGCAGAGGCTGCGGGCCGCGGGTTTTGGGGATGAGGAGATCGACAAGTGGAAGCGTGGCGGTGAGCGCAATGAAGCCGACGTCAAGTGGACCAAGGCCGGAGAGAAGCGTGAATGGGACCGGGGCAAGGATGGAGAGCTGAAGGGGCTCTTCTCCGAAGACAATTAGTTGGGTGAATGAGGCCAGAACATACGAGCCTTGTGCGACGGAATGACCTGATGACCTGAATAGCATTGCAGGCGTTGGACACAGCATCCAGGAGTTAGGAATACAAGTGAGGAGCAATGCACGCACCTATCAAACGAACCTATTGTTTCGTTTTGTGAGCCTACTTGCACTAGGTAGGTAGCTGGAGCGCGTTGCGTAATGAGAAGGCTACAGCTAGTCAGACATGATGTCTCGACCAGGAGTCAACCCCTGTGCAAGCTGTGCGAAATGATCAGATACGCACGGGTTGGAGAGGTTGCCGTCGTAGACGCGCATAATTCAATTGACAGCTCGTACGGATATGTTGGGTGTCTGAAAGAGAAAAGCTAGCTACGAATACATCGGTCGCAGAGGAAGATATCAAAGGAAGATCCGTCATATTTCATCGTTCCATGTGATCCTGGTACCACAGCCGAGACGGCATAGCGGGGTTCGCCAGCGCATGATGCAGCATGCCACAGCACTTCCCAGTCCCTAAGGCACTTAGTCGAGGGCCCCCGGCCTCCCTGGCCTGGCTCGACCTGGTGGAGACCCTGAGGGGACCGGACGGTAGGACAGGAGTGGTCCGAACTAAGCCTGGTGGGGGGCTCAGGTGAGGGGAAAAGGGCATGAGAAGGAGGAGCAGTCAGAGCACGACCATTGTGACCGTCATGACGCCTCCGTCGGTCCCGCCCCTGCGGCCAGGGCCTGGGCTGCCAGGTGCCCCCCCTCCCCCCGGCATGGGTCTGGTACTGCCTGCCGCATCCAGCGTGACCAGCAGCGTGTGCCCAGTCAATAGCAGTGGCCAGTGACCAGGCTAGGCAGACCACGCCACACTCTGTTGTAGGTACCGTACCCTCTTCCCAAGACCCGGCCTTTGTCAGATGAGCATGAGCAACAAGTGCCTGTGTCGGGTGGTCGTAGTGGTGTGAGATGTGACGTCCTCGTTTGTCCATTCGACTCGGTCGACTCACTGCTTTGTTTCCTCCTCTTCCACCTCATCCCGCTCCAAACACCCATCGCGATAGAAGGCCGACTCGCAAGCATTTGCTCCGAATCTTGTTACCTCCTAGATCTCATGAACCACACATGATACGGCCTCTTTCGCCTTTCAGGTAGCTGCGAGACGGGCGGCGAGCTCTGTCACCAGTCTCTCCAAGCTTCAGCTTCGATTCCGGCGTCTTTCTTCGGCACTGCGCGCGCCCCAACTCATTATCTCTACTGCCGGCCAAGCTGCCTTGCGCATCCCTCGTACCACCGCCTGATTCGAAGCCTTCTTTTCTTTCGCACCTGTGTCGCCCGAACAGCCAGCCTACCGTCATTATGCGTACCCCACGGATCCTTATCCTCATCCTCTTCTTCGTCGCGTGCCTCTTCCTCTTCTGTCGGTCGATCACTTCCATCGCACAGCGACCGAAACCTGCGCTATCCGCCAACATGTCGGGCATGCCAACGAACTCTGTATCAAGCTTTTTTTCATTCAACTCAGGCTTTTCACTTTTCAGTCCGAATGCTGTCATCAGTTTGACCGATGATAACAGTACGTTGTTTCCGGCACAGCCCGCCGCATTTGGGCCCCTGTTGCCCCACCACGGCCTCAGTGGCCGCTTGTGGATCGGGAGCGCATTCCTTGACGACGACGACTTTGGTGACGAGTACGAAGACACCATCGGCGGAACCGAGCTCGGCTGCAGTGATATACCTGGATGGCATTTTACGAGACCTGGCGCAGACCTCACAAATCCCGACGTGGGCGCAACGAGGAGCCTTGATGACCTCGACGATGCCGATGAGCACCTGTTGCAGCCGTTCGCCGGGTCCAGGTCACGCATTGACGCTCGTGCGGCAAACGCAGCCCACGCCCGTGTCTACCCGCCTCGCCAATCCGCCGACATCTCTGGAAGCATCGTACTACTCAGTCGCGGCGGTTGTGGTTTTCTGGAGAAGGTCATGTGGGCACAACGAAGGGGTGCCTCCGCTCTCATTGTGGGAGATAGCCAAAAAGGAGGGCCCCTCATCCAAATGTTTGCGAGGGGAGACACCTCAAACGTGACTATTCCCTCGGTTTTCACAGCACGAACCACTGCACGGATTCTGTCTTCCCTCGCCCATGTGGGGAGCTTAGTTATTGGAGATGGCGAGGATGAGGAAGCTTATCCGTTTAGGGTTCCTCAGTCCACAGATAAAAGGCGCCTGCACTCCAGCAAGGTCGCGAGCACTCACAAGTTCCGACCGCGACACCTCAAGAGTGACCTTACTAGGGGAGGTTCGTTCTCCCCTGCCGGGACGCACTGGTTACGCAGACTTTTCGGCTGGGATGACGAGCAGACCGAAGCTGTGGATACATCCTACTCTGAGCCCCTCGCATCAGCTGCCGAACAATACGACGATAGCCAACATCAAAGCGAAAAGGACAACATGGTCTCGGTGTTGTTCGGTGGAACCGACGGCAAGTTGGCACACACGGCCACCGGCGACATGCCGATGCCGAAACTACATGCTCCAGAGGCGGGCAGCTTGCAGGCACACGATGGTCTGTGGGTCACAATCACGCCGTCGGATAACGGGACGCCTTTCTTTGACACACTCTTGGTTCTGGTCATCAGCCCGCTTGTCACATTGACCTTTGTTTACGCGGTCCTCATTTTGCGAGCCCGCCTTCGCCGCCGAAGATGGAGGGCTCCCAAGTCCGTCGTTGAGCAGCTTCCCGTGCGAACGTATCATACGGTCGCTCCCTCGCCCATCCACACACCCAGGTCCCCCTCGCCAGTATCATCTTGCCCAACGACACCCCTACTGCAGCAGGTTCCTGACAGACCTACCATCCTTCGCTTCCAGAGTTCAGGGGAGCTTCCGGTCTCGGAGAGCCATTTGGCCCCAACCTCTGCAGCTAACATTCCTACACCGACCGCTGCGGCACGCTCCGAGAGGGAGAAGGCCTTGGGCAGCACTCCTAGTCAATGGAAGAAATACATGGGTCGTCAGGTCGAATGCGTGGTCTGTCTGGAGGAATATGAGAACGGAGTCAGCCAGGTTATGAGCTTGCCCTGCGGCCATGAGTTCCATGCGGACTGCATGTAAGTAAAGATGTGTACGCCGCGGCGCATGTGTACGTTGCTGACAGATTCAAAGCACACCGTGGCTGACGACACGCCGTCGAACATGCCCCATCTGCAAAGGGGACGTTGTGCGATCTCTTGCTCGGGGCTCGTCCTCAGGGCCGACGTACGAGCCGTATCACGACGAGAGCGATGACGAGGATGCTGCTCAGGCATCGAGCTCGGGGGGGCGCGACGAAGATGTTGAACAGGGCATTCTGTCGCCGAGCCCAGGCAGACGAGAAAGCCGTGCCGAGGCCTGGCTCAACAGGCTATCTGCCAGTTTCGGGGCCACAATTCGCTCTGGTGATCCTTTGCATGAGGACAGGAGTCGGTAAAGAAGAGACATCCTCCTCTCGATATTGGCATGATCAACTCTCCAACTGAGTGTTTCATCTTCATTTTCTTATTTGTGTGCTTTGTTTCTATGGGAATAGGTGGTTCAGCCACATCATGACAAGGCGCAAGGGGGGGCCGAATACCCTGGGTCGACTCGCAAGGACATATGATTGGGATGGAGTCCTTCTGGACATGGACATGTCCTGAGGCCAAGGAATGGATGGACTCATTGTTTTCAGCATCAGCAACTTAGAGGTGCAGCAACAAGACTTTGCGTCTTATGATTCATTGCCTTTTAACATTGTTTTTTTTTTGGACAACATATGTGCTAAAGGAACGGGGAGGTATGAAGTCAACGATGCAGGCGCACTCCAGCTGCCTCAAAAAAAGTGGATTTTCTGGCATGGGTACTCAACCTACTCAGGAACCCCAGTTGCTTTGTAGTTGACTTATGCATGGGTATAAATATGTGCGCACGCGCGAGCTGACCCCCCTCCTATTCCCCTGCCAGCACACACACACACACGCGCGCACGTTCCCGCGATAATCGAATTGGATATGATAGTCTTTCAGATGTCGTTGTACAGGATGAATCTGGGAGCTTGCCTCTGGCACGCCATCCACGTCCAGGCGGCGCTTGGTTCGTAGCTCATGAGGAGGGCACACTCCTTCCCGTACGATGCTGGCGCAAAGACATCGGCATCAGCACGTCGGGCTTCGGCGACCTTCTCGGGCGTGCCCAGGCGGAGGAAATGATTCCTCTGCGGACCTGGGGGAAAGATGCTACAGATGCGTGTCAGAGACGACCCAACGTGTGCCATCGATGAGGGGAGGGCTTACAGGGCATTGCCAAGGATGCCGTGGCACAGACTTGGCTCCTTGCGCAGGAGGCCGCGCTCCCAGGTCAGGGCGCGGCCTTTTTCTATTGCGATGTCGATGCGTTCTCGCAGGATGGGGAAGAAGGGACGCAAGGAGAGGAGGGACAGCACGAAGCCCGGTGCGCCGTGGCACCATTGGACGAGCTCCTCGGTGGGCGAACTTGTGCGAGAGCCGTCAGCGGGCTCGACGGAGGGCCAATTACCGTCTTCGAGCTGCATGTCGAGCAGGGAGGCCAGTCTTTCACTCATTTTTGGTGCCAGAGGCGGCGTCGTGAGGACCAACTGGGTTATGATGCCAATGTCGCCGTGGCCTGCGCCGAGGTAGCGCGATCCGGACCACAGCCAGTTGCCTTTGCCGTCATCGTCGGTTGATAGGATGCGGTTGGTCAGGAGAACGATCCAGTATTCGACCAGTGGCGCGGACTGGGGAACCCAGTGACGGATGAGACGAAGGAGGTAGAGGGCGCCTGCACGGCCATAGAAGAGGTCGGTAGGGAACGGGTCTGCCTGACGGGACTCCAGGTGCTGGCCTTCGGTCGCTGGCGACGTAGGGCGATCAACAATGCCGGCGGCAAGCACCTGCGGTAAACTGACGAGAAAGCTTCGCACGTGGTCGAGATCTTTAGTGATGCAGGCGCGGACGGCGGCATGAGCAAGGATCTCACTCGCTATCCCGCAGTTTCCTGGCTCAAGGGCGAGATGGCCTCGCGCGCCAGAAATGTAGGCTTGCGCCCAGTGGCGCGTTGGGTACCCGTGGACGTGAAGCTTGGGCAGGGAGGTTGCGACTTGAAGGAAAAGATATGCGATGCCAGTGTGGCCGCTCAAGAGGCCGCTGAGCTGAGCCCTGGTGTACGTGGATTGTGGAGGAGAGGAGTTGAGGATGCGTTGGAGGGAGGATAGCAGCAGGGTTTCTGGAGATTTGAGATGGGGGAAGTCCAGGGGTGTGCCGAAATCATTGACAATGTGTCGCTGTGACATGGTGCTGCCTTGGCTTGTAGGGAGACTTGAGGTTTGCCTAGCCCACGAGAAGACGTTGATGTTAGGTCACGATAGCTTCGACCGACTCACACCACAGAACACGATGCAGGTGAGGTTGGTTTGGCGGGGCGCATTGCGGGGATGTGGAGCTGGAAAGTGCTTGTAGGGGGGCTTCTGCGGCGTGCCATATGCTATGGAAGCTGTGGAAGGAGCCAAGCTGCTCGCCTCGCTGGGCTGTGCCTGCTTTAAAAGGGATGCCCTTGCCTCCATCCAGGGGGAAGGCGCGGGGGAGAACCCCTAACCCACAATGGCCGGGCCTGCCTAAGGCGACTTTGGCCAGGTGCTTGGTACCCCGCATCTCCAATGCCCGCTTCGCGGGTCCAATTTCTCTCTCCTGCCATCCCATTATTCACTTGTCGCCGCATTTCGGATTCACGGCACATAATTCAGGGGTAGATACGGGCAGTGTGTACGCATGGGTCAATTCGATCAAATGATTGTCTTTGGCCCTTCAAAGGTGCCTTTCCTGTGACGGATAGTCGCCTCACCTGGACACTTTGCTTCGATTTTCTTTAGGCCTCGGCCACTCGCTCCGCATATGGGTCGACATGTGTCAACTTGAACTTGCGAGCTGGGACCCTCTCGTGGAATAGTAGGTCTAGTTCCTCATAAGTCCTGCCCTGCGTCTCAGGCAGCCTGAAGTAAGACCACATCGCAACACATGCCGAAGTGCCGGCCCAGAAGAAACCGGCCTTGCCCTTCCAGTTCCACTCGATCGGGTTGAGCATATACGGGTTCAACACGTTGGCCACGATCTGTGTCATGGCGTACGTGTTGCGCGCAATGACTACAGTTTGTGGTCGGAGCCGGACGGCCGATGTTTCGGAGATGATGGCATAACAGATTGGTCCTACAGTCATTGAGTAGATGAGCTTCCACACAAGCACGAAGGCCACTTGAGCCCACTGGGCGCCGGGCGCCGTCGTTGCCGCTGAGCAGATGCCCACAATGAGGAGAGCGCAGCTTGCCATGGCGATACCAATCCCATACAGCGTGCGGCGGCCAAAGTAAGTGAGCAGGACCCACGAGACACACGTCCCGATGAAGGCCATTGCTGTGCTGCCAATAGCGATCGTGAAGGCGTTTTCCGTGCTGATACCGCTTGAAGGAAGAAATACGTCGGTGTATACGCAAAAACAGCGCCGGACAGCTGCTGGCCGGCGAATACGACCATGCAAATCTCCGTTCGGCGACGGTTGGTGCCGCGGAAGCAGTCCAGATAATTTGAGTCGGACTCAATGCTAGACTCTAGCATGATGGTGTGCCGCATCTGTGCGAGGGTAGCCTGGGCTTGCTCACGGCTGCGATTCGATAGAGCAAGCAAGGACTTCTCGGCGTCCTCATAACGGCCTTTCTTGACCAACCACCATGGTGACTCAGGCGCGAAGAATATGGCAATCATAATGGGAACGGGCCACATCCACTGGATTGCGATGGGTACACGCCACGACCATTCCGTGTCGTACTGGAGCATGCCCCTCAGGACACCACTCGACAAGAACTGGCCCATGGCCCAGCACAAGTTGACGTAGACGGTTAGGTAACCTCGCAATGCCAGCGGACATACTTCTGAAGCATACGCAGGGCTTGTTGTGGCGTAAACGCCCCAAGTCAACCCACAAAGCATCTGTCCAACTAGAAGCATCTCGATGCGGACGGCGAAAAAGGAGATGAAGATGAAGCCCGTCATGCAAGCGAGGGCAACCTGGGTGACGAACTTGTATCCAAACTTGGCTGATGCCCATCCGTTTATGAAGCCGCCAATGATGACACAAGCATTCGTTCCGTTCTGTAAACCGGCTTGCCATGCTCCGGTGAGCTGCCAGGTATCTTGTTCAGGATACTAGATGGGGTTAGCGGGTTCCGAACACACATTCAGTGTTTGCATACGCACATATGAGCCGAATTTGCGCTGAAAGGTCGGGTAGCCGAAGAAGTTTGACATCAAACTGCCTGCAGTGTTAGCTGTGCTCTATGGGGAAATGGGAGCCTTAGCCATGCCTTTGATCATATCCCTCCATAACGATGGTTAACGAGATGATGGCTGACCAGAGCGCAGCCTTCCAGTTCTCACGAAGAGCCTGGCGCAATGTTGTCTCATGCTCTGCGGTTGTGGCAGCCTGAGCATCTTGAAGTGAGCGCAAGTTGGCCTTGAGGTCGTCCTCATGCTCAGCCTCAGGGGATGCGTCTTGTGCGGCTTTCATCCTGTCTTCGATGTAATTCAGCTTACAATGTAGGAACACCAGAGTGCAAAACAAATAAAATACAGCGACGCTGCTGCCGCCGTTGTCCACAGATACGAAGGTATGATGGCTTTTATAATTGGGTCGATCGATATTGTATCAAGATACTGTCCTGGTCCAGTCTGGAGATGATCACCCCCCCTTCTATCCTTCGAAGAGAGCTGCTGTCAAGGGTAATTCTCAGACAACCGTCGAATCGGAGCATGCAGAGCCCGAGTCGGCGGTCAGTCTCACAGGCACACCAGACAGGGGTGCGACAGCAACGACTCCCGGCATGTTAGCTAAACAGATCCCCTCCGTGGGGGCTAGGTCACAGCGGGTAAGCGGCTGTGTCACACATTCCGACGACAGTTTGTACATACGATGTCCTATTTCTATGGCACGGGTTTAAAGGTTTGTTAAACATGGAACGGTCTCTTGCATCTCCCATGAGTTTATCATCAAGCGTGGGAAAAGCTCAGGGCCGTGGATATGGTGTGTCAGTTTATGAAGCATAAAGCTTCCTACCCTCATCAGATTTAATCTGAGCTCGAAAGACGTGATCCAGTCTTCCGATAAAGTGCTATATTACTGACAACCCCTGTACGTATGGTGTGCCATCCGTATCCTATCTCCCCACCGCTGGCCGGTAGACTAGTGAGGCATCCCGCTTTGCCAGATAAGTCGACTCCAGAGAGCGCAACTCCGCCGAAACTGGAGCAAAAGCCAGGGTGACGCGGAGTCTAAAAACCTGTGGACCATCTTCCAACACGGGCGTCGGCATAACGTATCGTCATCCTAGAGTATGGAGACCAACCCGGACACGCCATTACCCGACACCACCCAGCCCGTCCATACACAAGATGCCATACCCGCCGCTATCCCCGCTGTCCTCCCCGCGGAAACAACCCGTTTCTCCAACCATCAGAGCTTTCCCCGCAATCAGCGACCCCAGTGACCCCCACGAAGCAATCCTTCGAGGGTGTGACTTGACGAAATTCTGGGGCAGTCATCTGGGATTCTGGCATACGGCGCGGAGTCAGCGTCCGACGAGATCCGACTCGTTCAGTCCTCAGGTGATCTTTCTCTGAAGCTATGCAGCAACAATAGACAATGGGTCGATTCTTCGTCTCCAGCTCTCGGATGTCGACTTGTCCCGCTACGGGACGAGACCCGATAATCAGGGATTCAGGCTAAATACTGCAATCTCTTTCATGATTGGGCCGTGAGCAACATACTGTGCTGTCGTGGGGTCTGTCGTCGGCTTTCCGAAGCTGTCGTGGCCCCGGCGGGTTTCGGTACCCCACGGTGGACGACCGGCAGCCAGCGGATGGAGAAGACGGCAACAGGGAAATTGTCAACCGGCCAGATACTTAAGCCAGTCTTGCGAGGGGTGCTGAGGTCCGTTTTTGAATGTTCTTGAAAGTCTCCGTCCCTTCCCTCATCTGGCTTGCTCGGTCTTTAGTTTTATTCACCGTTATAAGACTGAAGCGCTCGTCATGGCGCCCAAGGCAGGCAATCAGGAGTATGGCACTCGCCCAGATCCAGCTTTCACCAACGAAGATGGCCGCCGGCTCGGATTCCGTTTTGATGCCGAGATCCTTTACATCGAGCCCTGGGGCGAGCATGCCCTCCGCGTGAGGGCCACCTGCCTGGCCAAGCTCCAAGATAGGGACTGGGCTCTGACGGAAAAGCCGACTCAGACAGCCGACCCTCTCATCAATATCGAGAGCAGCTCGGCGTCCATCACCAATGGCCGCATCAAGGCACACATCAGCCGCCGCGGAAAGATTGTCATCTCCAACATTGAGACAGGCAAGATACTCTTGGAGGAGTACGCCCGCCACCGGCTCGATATTCTGGATCCCAAGTGCAGCTCGCTCCGCATACAGCCCCGTGAGTGGAAACCTCGCCTCGGCTCGCCCGACTACCACTTGACCATGCGTTTCGAGTCGCAGGACCCGGAGGAGCGCATCTACGGGATGGGCCAGTACCAGCAGCCCTTTCTCAACCTCAAGGGGGCCGACCTAGAACTGGCGCAGCGTAATTCGCAAGCAACCATCCCCTTCGCCTTGTCGAGTCTAGGCTACGGCTTCCTCTGGAACAACCCTGGCGTCGGCCGTGCTGTCTTTGGAAGCCTTACAACGACGTTTGAAGCTTACTCGACTGACACGCTCGACTACTGGGTCGTAGCGGGTGAGACACCTTCCGAAATTGTGCGTTCCTACACGCAGGTCACGGGCCGCGTACCCATGATGCCGGAGTACGGTCTCGGATTTTGGCAGTGTAAGCTGCGCTATCAGACGCAGGACGAGCTGCTCGAAGTGGCGCGCGAGTACAAGAAGAGGAACTTGCCAATCGATCTGATCGTGGCTGATTACTTCCATTGGCCTAATCAGGGCGACTGGAAGTTCGATCCCACCTTTTGGCCGGATCCCGGTAAGCGGTCTCGCTAATGACTTGAAGTGACCTCATTGCTAATGCGGCATAGATGCTATGGTGAAGGAGCTCAAAGAAATGGGCATTGAGCTGATGGTTTCCGTGTGGCCTACTGTGGAGAAGACGTCTGAGAACTATGATGAGTGCTTACGTCGCGGGTTCTTGATTCGGCAGGATCGCGGCGTGCGCATGTCCATGGAAGCTCATCATGGCCCCATCCATTTTGATGCCACAAATCCTGAGGCTCGCAAGTTCGTCTGGGATACGGTCAAAAAGAACTACTACGATAAGGGGATCAAGGTATTCTGGCTCGATGAAGCGGAACCCGAATATTCCGTGTATGACTTTGATATTTATCGGTATCACCTGGGCCCGAACCTGAGCGTCGGTAACTTTTTCCCGTCAGAGTTTGCTCGCGGTTTTTATGAAGGCCTGAAAGAGTCTGGCGAGACACAGGTCGTTAATCTGCTGCGGTGTGCATGGGCGGGCTCCCAGAAGTACGGCGCGCTCGTCTGGTCGGGCGATATCGCGTCGAGCTGGGGCAGCCTGCGGAACCAGCTAGCTGCGGGCCTCAACATGGGTATTGCTGGATTCTCCTGGTTCACCACAGACATTGGCGGCTTTCACGGAGGTGACCCGGACGACCCTGAATTCCGCGAGCTGTTCGTGCGGTGGTTCCAGTGGGGGACCTTCTGCCCGGTTATGCGCCTCCACGGCGACCGAGAACCCAAGCAGCCCCGTCTGGGCACAACTGGTGGCAGTCACTGCCTGTCTGGGGGTCCCAATGAGGTCTGGTCGTACGGCGAGGAGGTGTACGCCATCTGTGAGAAGTACCTCCGACTACGCGAGTCGATGCGGGAGTACACGCGGGAGCTGCACCGGGCGGCGCACGAGAATGGCGATCCCCTGATGCGGCCGCTGTTTTACGACTTCCCAAACGAAGACAAGTGCTGGCGGGTCGGGGACCAGTACATGTACGGGCCCAAGTACCTTGTCGCGCCAGTGCTGCAGGCCAAGCAGCAAACGCGGGAGGTGTACTTCCCTGGGGAGGGTGTTCGCTGGAAGGATGCTGAGGGGCTGGAATATGAGGGCGGCCAGTCAACTACAGTTAAGACGCCGCTCGACACGATGCCCGTGTTTATTCGACAATGAGCCATGCCTAATTTGATCATTTTTTTTTGTCTTCTTTTCTTCCGGGAAGGGGGATGGTGGAGGATCTTCTGGGCAGAGCTCGATTGGGGTCCAGGGAAGTGGAGGTTACCTTATGCGGGGGACATCGACCCCAGTCGTCTTGGATGTCAGGATCGGCGACTAGGATGATGGATGCCAGTGATGAGTTCCTCCGAAGTAGGTAGATGATAGATGAGAGGGCGATGACCCACTGCAAAACTCGTTCAATTCTTGATATGGTGGGGTTGCGAGGGCTAAAATTGATGCTTCCATGTGATGGCAATGGACTGAGGGCGAGGGGTCGTAGTCTGAGTTGCTGAAGCGGAGCATTTGGACCGGTCCAGCCACAGATACAGGCACAGCGAGAGACATCGACGTCATCAAACGCCCACCAAAAGCGGAAGCTTGGCACCCAGGCCCGTCGCAGCTGCCTTTTGCACAGCTCCGGCGGCAGCTTCCTCCACTGGCTGCTCCTTCCCCGTCACGGTCTCGTCACAGGAGCATACTTTCAGACCTCTTGTCCTCTCATCCTCATAATACTGAAAACGTCGACTTCACCTTCTCCTCCCTTTGGCGAAACCGCTTGGTGCTCATCTGCCATCAACCCCGCCATCTTTCATCTCAGTCCCACCCAACTGCACCCACGCCCCAAAACAAGCACGCCCACAATGTCCCGACGAACCCAACCGCGTTGTCGAACGCGACTCGGCCAACACCCATGGACAAGGCCAGAGTCGTAGCCGCGGTCGCATCGCCGACTCGGTCCAAGCGAGAGCCCAGGAAGTTCTGTACGTTATTCCCCCTCCCCCAAACAATTGCTTGCGGGCAGCTGCCAGCTGTTCAGAATGGCCTGCAAAGAGTTCGATACCTAAGCTCGCAATGTACTGACTTGTCTTGCTTGTAGGAAGGAGGACTACGACCATGCATCCACCCTCGTAGGCGATGCCGCCAGGAGTAGGGCATACCTGTACCCCCTCAAGGTACGATACTTCGCTGGCCCATGAAGTACCAGCGCTTCTGACAGCCTCTCACAGGGAATCCTCTACTTCGCGACGCACCGCTCCCTTTGGAAGCCTCTCCTCTCTCGAATTGGCCCTTACGCCCTACTGTCCGTCAGTGTCGTCACTGGCATGTTTGTATTCACCTACGTGCCGCAGTTTGCCGTTCTCGTCCTCTTCAACGGTCCGCTTGCCGTCTTCACCACCGTTCTCCTGATTCTCAACGAGAGCTCCACCATCATCAACATGATCTCGCGCACGTACCTTCTACAAGATGCCATCCTCGATACCTTTGACGGTACTCTGGTCGCCAGGGGTAGCGATAACATTGTCCGCGAGGGTCGACAGCTGCAGCCGGGATCAGACCCCATGCAGAAGCTGGGCAAGGTTCTGAAGAGCCCCTTTGAACGCTTCAGCCCCAAAGCTCTCATTCGATACATCATGTATCTGCCCCTGAACTTCATTCCTGTTGTCGGCACTGTTTTGTTCGTCCTCATCCAAGCCCGAGGACGCGGCCAGATTGTCCATGGAAGGGTACGTTTTTGAATAGTGTCCCCTGAGTTCCAAGCGTTGCCTAATGTGACGCAGTACTTTCAGCTCAAACAATGGTCCGAGTCACAGAGGAGGGAGTGGCTGAAGAAGCACACCGGACCCTACACAGCGTACGTTTGCCAGCCTCAGCACGCCTTGTTTGCCTACTCACACCATACAGATTCGGTCTTGTTGCCACAGCCCTCGAGCTGATTCCCTTTGCTTCCATGTTTTTTACTTTCACCAACTCTGGTATGTTATATACGTGCCCTTGACTCCAGTCACTTCATCACTGACGGCATCCTCTCTACAGTCGGTGCGGCTCTGTGGGCTGCCGATATCGAGAGTAAGGGCACATCCATGACGGACAGCACCGCCCCCACCCTTCGCGAGACGGCCAAGAAAGCCGAGTAGAGGAATCGTAAAGGTTAGGAACATGAGGGTAGCTGATTGAGAGCTCTACTGCTTGACACTGCACAGTGGCGACAGCAACTAGCTCGTGGCTCATCAGTAGTTGCCCGCCTCGCCTAGCGGCAGATAGGTCTCACGGTATTTTGACAGCATCGGATCGAGTTCGTGCTCTCTTTTCACGATACTGGGGGCTTTCCGGGGCACATCACGATGAGAAGTTTACGCTGAGAGTGGGAGGTAATTTTGAATCCTGCAAGCGCAAAAGGAGCATGGTAATTACGGTCTTGAGACCCCGTAGATGAAGTGTCTCAATTTCTTATAGTGTGCAATTCTTTACGAGCAGCAATGTGTTTCGTCATGAACTGTCTCATCCTGCGACCAGCACTACTTTGCTTGGCGGTTGGGCATTTCAATGAAGCAAACGACGACAGCGTAGAAAGCATAGTTTCTTCCGCCCCCCCACCCCCTTACAAGCCATGTCAATAAACCTAGACAGTCTATTGTACGATATCTTCCTCCTCGCAAATAATCGTTCGAGTTGACAGCTTTGCACCTTGCCCACCAAGCCGCTGCTCGACTTTACCAGGTCATTTTCCCTCTTTCCATAGAAAAGAGCTCGCTCTACTTGTCCGCTAAGTTGAACTCGGCGACTACGAGTTGAATGTGTGTGTTCGTGTAAGCTCACATATTGCCTCCACGGCCCGTGTGACTTTGTCGCTTTCGCAAGGAACAGGGGTGTCATCTTGCTGCGGGACGTTGCATGTGCCCCTGGCGTCTGCGGCATCTCGCTGCGCACAACTGTACACTTGCGCACCGTCTGTGCTATCGTAATATCTCGGTAGGCCGAGAGGCAAGAGCCTGGTGTCATGAAT